TGGCTCCATCCCCGCCTCTTTGACCTGTCTGTCTCCTCTCCACCTATCTTCTCCTCTATCCATCTTCTATCCACCTCCCTCTCTCTCCCTATTTATTTCAGAGCCCCCTTCCCCTCCCCCATTTCTGAAGAAGGGTCTCGGCCCAAAACATCAGCCTTCCTGCTCCTATGATGTTCCTTGGCCTGCTGTGGTCATCCAGCTCTACACCTTGTTATCTCAGATTCTCCAGCATCTGCCGTTCCTACTATCTCTAGAAAAACTCAGGTTGTTTTCTCTGGAGGGATGGAGGCTGAGGGGAGACTTGATACAAGTCTATAAAATTATGAGATTCAAAGAAAAGGTTGACAGTCATCATCTTTTTTTTTCCCAGAAGTGTCTAATACTAAAGGGCATGCATTTAAAGTGAGAGGGGGAAAGTTCAAAGGAGATGTGGGGGGAAAGTTGTTTTTTAACAGAGAGTGGTAGGAGTGTGGAACATGCTGCCAGGGATGGGGATGTTGGCAGATACGTTAGTGGCATTTAAGGATCTTTTAGATAAACACATGAATTGCAAGGAATGGAGGGTGATGGATGGGAGATGGGAGATGGCAGGCAGAAGGGATCATTTTAATTTGGTGTCATGTTTGGCACAACATTGTGGGCCGAAAGTCCCATTCCTGTGCTCTACTGTTCAATGTTCTGAGTTAATTTGGATAAATGTGAAGTATTGCATTTTGATAAAACAAACAAGGGCTGGACTTGTACAGTTAATGGTAGGACCCTGCATAGTGTTGTAATACAGAGAGACCTAGGGGTTCAGGTACATAATTCTTTGAAATTTGAGTCAGGTCGACAAGATGGTTAAGAAGGCATTTAGCACACTTGTCTTTATTGCTCAGACCTTTTGAGTATAGGAGTTGGGACGTCATGTTGTGGTTGTACAGGGCGTGGGTGAGGCCTCTTCTGGAGTTCATTGACCCGTTCTGGTCGCCCTGTTACAGGAAGGATATTATTAAACTGGAAAGGGTTCGGACAAGAGTCATCAGGATGTTGCCGGGAATGGAGGCTTTGAGTTACAAGGAGAGGCTGGATAGGCTCGGACAATTTTCACTGGAGCATGAGAGGCTGAGCGGTGACCTTTATAGAGGAACATCATGAAGGGCATAGATGAGGTGAATAGCAAAGGTATTTTCCCTCAAGTGGGGGAGTTCAAAACTATTTTTAAGGTGAAAGGAGAAAGATTTAAAAAAGACATGAGGAGCAACTTTTTTACACAGAGAGGTGTGGAATGAACTGCCAGAGGAAGTGGTGGATGCAGGCACAGTTACAAAAGTTAAAAGACATTTTGGATAAGTACATGAATAGGAAAGGTTTGGAGGGATATGAGTGAAGCCCAGGGAGGTGGGACTAGTTTGCTTTGGGAACACGGTCGGTGTGGACTGGTTGGTCTGTTTCTGTGCTGTATAACTGTGACTCTATGACCTTTTTGTTTTCACATTCCCCAGCTGCTCCACCTCAAGCCAGGGAAATGGAAAGGCTGCTACCAGCTGTCCTTCCCATATTATCAGAGTTGTCACTTCCTAATGTAAAAGTGTTGGTCTGAAAAAAAACTGACTTCTAAAATGGAATGGATGCACACTGGTACAACATATCCACTGCATTCTCGCCACCCCTACACTTGCCCGTTTTGTTTCCCATTTGCAACATCATGGGAAGATGACTGATAAATAATATAACCCATTTAGAAACATAGGAGTAGAAGGAGGCCATTCGGCTTTTTTTTTTCCTACTTGCCAAATGCTATTTTGCATACACTAACCTGTAGCTTCTCTTCCCATTTCTCTTGAGCCGGCCTGAGCGGTCCCAAGAGTCTGTCCTTAGCCCCCTGTTGTTTCTCATCTGCAGGCTGCCCCCTCCAGTGGCATCATCTGAAAATGCAATTTCCACATGTATGTCAATGACACCCAGCTGTACCTCATGACTGCCCCCCGCCCTGCTCCGGCCACATCCCTAACCTGTCAGGCTATATGTCCAGCATCCATTCGGCAACAAAAATTTCCTACACCCAAATATTGGGAAGATCACTGTCTTCAGTCCCGATCTCAAACAGTGTTCCCAAAACATTGACTTCAACCCAGTCCTGAGTAACCTGCTGAGCTGAACCGGTCTGTTGGCAGCCTTGGGGCTATGTTCGATTTTGGTATTAGCAGTTAATCACATACATACACCGTTGCTAAACTCCTGTCTACTTCCACCTCTGTACATTTGGCCTGCATCCACCCCTGAAACCCTCATCTCTCCTTTGTCACCTCCAGACTTTGATTATTGCAATGTGTCCTGGCTCGTCTCCCATCATATTCTACCCTCCACACATTTCTATGACAAGCTATTGTCTAGGATGCACCAACTCACCACCCCTGTGCTCACTAACCTATATTGGTTTCCCATTTAAGGAATGCCTTGTCCTTTAAAATTCTCAGCGTTGTTTTCAAATCCCTCCATGGCTTCACTCCTCCCTATCTCCGTAGTCACCTCCATTCTTGCCCTGCCCTTGAGGTAGCTTATTGAATCCTGGCCTCCTCAGCACCCCTGATTTTGAAGACCCTGCTATTGGTTGCCACACTTTCAATTGCCAAGGCCCTAAGCTCTGGGGCACCTTTCCTAAACCTCTCTAACTTGTACAAAAATCCTCCTGAGAAATTAACTGTATAACTGCAGTTTTGATCGTTATGCTCCCGAATGTCCTTTTACAAATGTCAAATTTTGTGTGATAGTGTCTTCGTAAAGTTCTTCGGATGTTTTACTCAGTTAAAGGCATGGCATAAAAATGCAAGTTTATTAATTTGCAACTGTACCGATTCACTGAAATCACTGGCATGCCCACTTGTATGTGAAATAATGCACACCGTGTAAATTTAGCCTCTGACCAAGTCTGCAACTAAACAGGCTCCAGTTAGGAAAATCTTTTAAAAAATGCGACTGAATTGCTCTTTTCTCTTCCCTTGGCAGCGTCAGACGATTGAGTTCATTCCGATTACCCAAGTGTTCTACGAGTGGAAAGGAACAGAATACAACTATTTCACATGCGGTACAAAAAATAAAGTGTATGCCCCAGACTACCCTGCAAAATGCTGCTGTTGCAGCATTCTGTAACCACACCAATCAGAAACTGCTGCTGCTCCTTTTAAAAAAGAATATATCCACACAACAGCCAAGATTCAGCAGCTCGCTACCCAAGCTACCAAAAGCCCAGCTCTTGTTCGGCACATTGCTGGTGAGTTAACTCTCTGCCAAACCTATGCCACTTACTCCAATCAGTAGGTGATCATTATTCTGATAATTAAGACAATGGACCAATCTTGAGACTCTCTGTGGTTTACTGGTGGATTACCTCATCCAATCAGTCCTTGACTGGGATGTATACTGGTTCAAATGGTGATCTCCGCCCTTGTAGGAATGGGTACCACAGTCGCAGTTAAGGAGAGAGACAAAATTAGCTCAGGCTCCTGCATTGACTCAGTGACTTCTGATGGGGCTGCAGATGTATCAAGGAGCATTTGATCATGCTTGGCTGTATTGGCTCCACTTAAGGAAAAGGCCTGGCAGCATCCAAGGATCGATGCCCCATTGTGGGTCACTGTTTCTGAATGGGGGATGGGGGAAGTCTCTCAAGTAACTACTCACTCCCATTATAGAATAGGGCTGATTTTATAAAACTCCAACATCCAATCTGCAATCTCTTCTGCTTAAACACTAACTCTCTGTGTTGAAACTTTGCAATGGAAACCTTGCATTAATCGCATGTCAAGTGCATGCAAGTGGAAGTTAGTAACTGGGGTTTCACTCGAGTGTATAAAATACCACTGGTGTGTTTAGGCGGTGTATGTTTGCAATGTTTCATTCTGTAAATAAACGCAAGACTAAGTAGATCGGCTCAAGGATCCTTCTCACACTCTCCTTTCTGGTGTAGAATGTAAGATTACCCTTTGTAAATCACTGTGGAGGTATAACTAATCCTCAAAAGGTCTGCACCAAGAATAAAGATTGTGTTGGCACATTATATCGCTGTGGGCTGGTCGTGTGATGAAAGCAACAAGATGAAATTGAGCATCCACATTGCTGACTGGTACCTTATGAACACAGAAGCTCTGCATTTGTGCTGATAACCTGAGGGAAAGGAGATATTCCACAGAACATCACAAACAAGTCTAACGGTAGTTCTCTGGTAAAGAGAGCAAATGGGCTGTTATTTCAGTGAGATGGACAGATAGAATCTACTACATACGTCTGTGCAGATTTTCTGGTTATTGGAACTATAATTTGCATAGTCCACATGTGACGTGTTTTTGTCATGTTGACAGGATTTTTATTCACAAGATCTTCTAAATAAGAAGAGTGAGTGTATAAAACACAGACAGACACACAGGCTCAGTAGAGAAAGAGAGAGAGAGACACTCATAGACCAGAAAGAGACAAAGAGA